TGTTTGTTTTTTTACGGCCTTCACTGGACCAGACAATTAAATGGGCTTTCATTCGTGAGGCCTTGACAACAGATACATTTCGCAAATTATTGCCACTCTGGCTTCCTTTACTCGTATCTCTTCCCAGACGAGGCCAAGTTACAAGTTTGTAAGAAATGGGTAAATAAATAAATATCCAGTCCACCTTGCAAGCGTATACTTTGCGCAAAAGTCAATAGGACGTAGGTGTATCCATGCCGGATTTGGACGGTCTCCTTCACTATTTGTCTGCTTCACTCGTGGTCAGGCTGTCTTTGTGCCTCGCGGACACTTTCCTTGTGACTCTTTTCGTCCGTCTCTGTATCTCTCCGTCTGCCTGGGCCCAGATTTGTGCATTCCCAATTGGGCCGCTGCCACCCGCGCCTCTTTATCGGTGCTACCAGCGCCTGAATATGTAGCGCTTACAGACTCGATCGACTGCATTCGCCTTGGCGACTCGGTCAGATGTGATCGTCTCCCTCGACCGGATCGCGGCTCTCCACCCAACGGGCGCACTGAGGCCGCCAGTAAACAAAACGACACTACCAGCCAGACACAGCGACCGACCCAGCCGTGGCCGTGTTTCTTGTGCATGTCATCATCACACCGACACGTCATGTGCCGAGTGTGATTCACCCTCCACAGGACTGGGTCACATCGGACACACGTGAGCACACGCCTGTGTGCGAAAACAGTGTGCATACACATGCATGTGTTAGTGTGTGTGTGTGTGTATGTGTGTGGTCCCTAGCGCAAATTCACTTACCCAATTGTTTATACCTCATTCGAGGATGGGCAAAGACATTTTATCTCGCATTCAGCCAATGCTGTCTCTGGTCCCAAAGTCCTGCCAGTCCACCTGTCTTTTCCTCCGTCCAGCCTTTCGTCCCACACCAAAACCCTCATGAATTAACACTGCCGCGACCTCCAACCGTAACGCCATCATATAGTATATGAAAAAATGTCATCCACACATTTGATTTCTCTCGCTCTCTCTCTCACACATGCGCGCACACACACACACGCACACACAGTACGTAGACTCACGATCTAGCTTTGAGTTAACCGCTGAGTCAAAAGGTCAATCC